AATAATCAATCCAATTCTTTGTTTTCAACTATTTTCTAATTTTGTATGCTGAAAAAGCTAACATAGCGTTTAGAAATGTTATTTAAGACCCTAATGTTACCTATGTTCACAGTTAAATAAATGAATTTGAATTTGAATGATGTTATTAAATAGCCCATAATTACCTAACCAACAAAATCTCAGCCTGACCTACATTCAAGCCTGAAAAAAAATAAGCAAAAAGGTCTTATATCACGTTTATACCTAAAGTTATAGAGGCGTTGAACACAAAGCTCCGCCCACTGCATAGCGCATATAATTTTGTCTCTTTCACACAACGTTCTACTTGCTAATTCACAGTATAAACGTCCTCTTCAATATACTTAACGGCCATTAGAATAGTTTTACATATGATACATTTGAAATTTCAAATGATTTTGAGCACTCCACTAGAGTAATAGGTTTTCTATGACGAGTGTTTCTTTGACTACTCTGTAATACTTTAGTCCTAGTTATAGGCACTTTGTAGTGGGGTGAGGAATGTATATGGCACACATTGTATAACGAGATAGAACTAGAAACTACTTCATACTCAAACTATGAATGTAGGTCATAAGTTTATAACGTAACGATCCAAAAAGTTCACAAGGTCTCAATCAATCAATCAATCAAATCATTTATTTGCATAATACAGGTATATAAGATGTTACATATGGATATATAGTGCACTGTATCATTACCTAAATAGATGTGCAAATATTTATACAGTCTTTAGGCAATCAATTTTTCTAATTACATTATATGCTTACAATAATATTACAAAATTATAGAAATGTCAAAGGATTAAAACGTACAGAATGTCAAGTGAGTTATAATTGTTCATGTCATGGTCAATAAATTAAATCATATAACAATGGTAGATTAATAATAAAAATTATATAAATTAATAACAACATAAAAATTTGGTACATAAAATTTACTACTGTATGTCACACTACTTGTTGGCAAAATAAACTATCTATATATCACTCACTATCTATATATCTCACAGATCAGATCAGTCAAAAGATGTACCTACAGTTAATTTAGATTAAACATTCCAATAAGTTTTGTAGTCCATCACAAATTACTTTAAGAGTAAATACATTTCCATATGACGTGGCAAAGAAAATAAAGAACAACACTAATAAACTATACTATTATACATATCGTACCTATTCGCAAACACGTAAATCTATACATATAATAAAATCGTAGAAAAATCAAAAGTGTACATGAAATGTTTTTTAAAACGAATACTTGGGGCGTGATCTACAATCGATACCGAAGCCAAAAATATATCTTTTGGTATTTTTGTTTGTTGGTCCGGGATGATCTCCAAAAGTACTGCATGGATTTACTTCAAATAATGCATGAATATTACTAACAGGTCGGATCAGCATATAGGCTACATATCGTCAGGCTATCATCTACGGGGAGGAGCCCTATACTAGGTACTGAGTCAATTGTGACGACACCGTTACCGTGGAATATCCCTTGATAAAGACTAATTCAAAAGCCTAAATTATGCCAGAAGTCATTATTATACAACAGCTAGTTAATAATAAAGACACTAAAAGACTACATAAACATTCAATGGAAAACCTCTCATTCACCAAAAACTCCCTCCATTGACAAAACCGTCACCCAATCAACAAGGAAACTCCAAAAAATCCCTATTAAGAGAATATAATTAATCTCTTTAGACAGAAAACGGAGTCACAAAGCGAGGAGTAATGCGTATTATGTCAAGTGAGACTCCACTCGCCTTATAGATTCGGAACACGATCCCCCAAGTGTTATAAATGTAAGTGGTCGTAAAAAAGTGTTCTCTGAATCGCGGGAATGTAAATAAATGGCGAGAAATGTGCTGGAAACAGGGACTGGGCGTTGTTTTGTAATTAATAGATAAATGATTTGCATTTGTTCAAATATGTTTTAGATGTGTGTTTTTTTAAGCATAACATAACATCACGCTTTTTATCCCGTAGGCAGAGGTGTGCATTACGGCACTTAACTCTTTCAGTCACACTTTTAACTGGTTACGAATATATTTCATACAATTATACTGAAATGCTTAAAAACCAATGTAAAGTAATTTGAAGCATACTTCAAAAATTGAATTTCTAAGAAAAGGTGGTTAGTTACAGTGACCACCAAGACTGAAAGAGTTAATGCCACTGTACAATCTATCATCCTCTTTTCACTATTTATGTTTTGAGTCCCATGTCATACGGGGTGAGCCTATTGCCATATACCGGTCACTTTTCCGAACTCCGTGCTACTACTGAGATTTATAAAAACCCAGTATTACTTTGCCAGATACGGGAATCGAACCTGAGACCCCTTGCCCGGCAGTCGCACTTGCAAACAATCGGCCGGCAGTATTAATTTTGTTTTCTTTTTCTTTCTCCTTGACTGAATATTGGTGTTACATTCTTCTCACATAATTGAACCAACAAAACAATGTAATCAAGAATTGTATTGAGAACCTTATTGAAAAAGAGTAACCTATGGACCATGAAACGAGCAACTACTTTTACTAGAAGACTAACCAACAGATAGACATTTTTTTATTATATTGTTTTGACATTCAAAAAGTGCCTTCCTGGTCGAAGTGAATTAAATGATTTTGACTTTTTTTAAAGGGTGGGGAGCGTTGTTCTGTTTTAAAATTGTCTGTGCCTATGTCGTAGGTCACTTTACCCTATCTAGTCTATGAGCATAATTAGAATTACTTGCACCTATTGGCATCTCTAGTACAAAGGCATACTTTAATAGAAGGTTCTCTGTTTTGTGATAGGTGAAAAGAGCATGATAGGTGTTGTGATAGGTGAAAAGAAAATGCGTAAGAGCAGAAGACTCATCTCTGATGTTAATAATATCTACTAGAAATAAGTAGGTGAAGTATGCTTAACACATTTAAGGCTTTATTTGTTCATTGGTCCCCTTTAAATTTTAACAAGATATGTAGTCAAAATTCTTACTTGTAAATAATCTGAATAGTGACATTAATTAGATTGTCACTAATTCTCATTCCTTTTTTTTCGTAAATCCACCTAAACTCTGTTCCTCAGCAACCCCATTAATTTAAATCAAAGTCATCAATCTCTATTTACATTTAATTGACATATCGACAGTATTAATGACATTTAATGACTTGCTGTACCTAACTATAACATTGTGATGACTTCATTGAAAGTTTGTAGACAATTTGGGTAAAGTTATTTATTTAGAATAGGTAATATAGGGTTTTTAAACTGTTTTATGTCCAGTCTCCCTTAAATAACAAGCACGTTTATTAATTTATATAACACTAGCGGACCCAACAGACGTTGTCCTGTATATCCACTTGAATGTATAAACAAAAATTCTAGACCCGACTGCAGTGCAATCTAAACCATCCAGGGCAAAATCAAAACAAACCGATCAAGCCGTTTAGGAGGAGTTCAATGACATACACACGTACAACAGAATTATATATACATATAAAGATATATCTGACATAATTATGATATGTATCTCTAAAAGCTTTCTTAGGCGTGTGATAGCATCTAGGTATATTTTTTATATTATGCGCATGTCCACTATAGTATTAAACTGTCAAACACCAAGCGGTCACCGGTGACCGCAACCTATTGTTCTATAATTGTGTCTACAAAACCGGTACTCGACGAGTTAATTGTTGTATATGAAAAGGTAACAACTGTATTGTTTATAGCATATACGCAGTGCTTTTGAGGATAAACAAAAAACAACACAATGCGTATAAACATAAGATATATATTACTTAAAAGTAATTGACAGACACCTCCTTTGATAACCAAACGAAATAAAATAACCTTTATTTAAATAAAAAGAAAGTTGAAAGTCGAAAAAGACAAAAACGCATCAAACCTCCCTTGTACATTTAATCCACTGCAATTAAGTATGGGCTGACTAAAGCCAGCATTCACTAGCCAGCTAATTATGCGAGCCCGTCAACACAGTCGTTTATTTTAGAATACATTAACGCAAAATTAACATTTATTGGAATAAAACACAATGCTGAAGCGGTGATGGTGATGGAATTATCACTAACTACGACCATTGTGGACTGTATCTAATGCTGTGTGCTCAGTTGATGATTTGATGGCGAATTTGGCTTGTATTTATAATTATTTCTAAGTAGATAAATGTGCGTTTGGTTGCCGCACCTCTCTAATGAACTTGAACCTTTTAAGCTCTAATTTCCATACGTGGAGTTTATGTTCTTTTTATTTCTGTCAAGAATAGTTGATGATGTTAATAAAGATTTGGTAGTTGGCTTTGGAAGTACCTTTTATCGATATTGATAGATTACTGAATAATTCTCCAGTACCATGATTATAATATTTTAATAGATAATATAAATGCATATAATAATTATACCTATATCTGAAATGAAATGGAATAACATAGATACAACAAAATATGTAACTGAATATTACATTCTTATGACGTCACATCTTATCAATATCAACGACAATACGGAAGAAGTTTCTCGTGTAATTAATTACGATGCATTATTATTATATCGGTGTCTATATCTCAATAATAATACTGGAAAATAATAATTTGTCATATCTGTTCAGAGACAATAGTATCGTGTAGCTACATCGTTGCACGAAAAAAGAAGAATCTATTTTTTGTTGAACGTATTTAACTGTAGAACTGTTCCGTAGTCATCCAACATTTACGGTGGTTGGGCAACTGGCTGCCACGCAACGTGTCGCAGGTTCGATTCTGGCACGGAACAACTCTTTGTGTGATCCACAGATTGTTGTTTCGGGTCTGGGTGTCATGTGTATGTGAGCTTGTATGTTTGTAAACGCACCCACGGCACAGGAGAAAGTCCTAGAGTGGCAAAGTTTAAAAAAAATACGTTACTCTAAATAAATATTTATTCTAGTTATATAAGGTACATTATTATAATGTACTAATCATTTTGTTTTTATTTTCAGATGAACCGGGCAATACAGGTGAAACCGGCGGACAGCGAAAATAGAGGAGGTAATTTTACAACACATTCCCATCTCAAATCTCTCAATTGAAACCGATATCTAATGCTATAAATACAAAGTGTACATTTCAGTGTCTTATTATCACGAATATAATCCATTTACAACGCAATTTGTAAAAATATTTAAGTAAACTCCACTATACTCGTTCCAAAGTAATTTTTACCTTATTTCAAATTGTGTTAGTTTCATTTTAATTTGTTCGCTTGCATATTTTTTTTTTATTTTTTTTAATGTAGGTCATGTTATTCATGGAGTAATTATAGTCTATTATCATATATAGTGGATAACACTTTTAAGTAAGATGTAACATGGCGACATTGTTTATAGGTTTTATTAAATGAATTAATACATAACAATGATTGAAAATAATAACTCATATTGTACGTGGACGAAGTCGTGGGCAACAGCTAGTAACAAATAATTACATACAAAAATCTCTCGAACAAAATTAAAAACCACATACATAACATCACGCCTTTTATACCTGAAGGGTTAGGCAGAGGTGCACATTACGGCACCTAATGCCACTGCACAATGTAACACCCGCTTTTCACTATTTATGTTACATATGTACATATACCTCTAGATACCGGGCACACAATTCCAGACTCCGTGCTACTAGGTACTGAGATTTTTTATAAATACCCAGTAATACTTTGCCCGCGCCGGGAATCGAACCCGAGACCCCTTGTCCGGCAATCGCACTTGCGTCCACTCGGTCAACGAAGCAGTCAATTAAAAACCAAAATAATATTATTTACTTCAACCTTGTAACGAACACTTTAAACTAAAAGACAGTACCTACGATACGATACGATCCGTGTCCGATCCGTCGACGCGACGGGATCCGTTTCAAACGATTAACTTTATGAAATACGAACTAATAATTTATGAAGTAAAGCTTTTGTTCGCGACTTGCCCATTATCGACTTCAGTAATCCGGCTGCCGTTTTTAAATGGTGTGTTGTTTGTCTTTAAACGAAGACCGGTCCGTTATTATCTGTTATGAAAACAGTGTTTAATGTTATTTAAATTTTTGTATTCTTTTTTTTCTCTTTACTGGGGTTAAATTGTCAAAACAATGTCAAATATATAGACTGTACAGCGTTGTAATAGGGTAGATGCCTAATTTTTATTTCAATGTCCGTCTGGTAGATTATTTTAAATCAACGTTTACAATACAACGATGATGACTGGGTATAAAAATTAAAAATCTAATTAGTCCGTCAGTTAGGTAATGAAAAAATATTAGACACGTATTTTTTATTTTCTTACAGAAACGAATACTTTCGACGATATATTGATTTGAAATGTCGCGTGACGTCACTTTATGTACATTTTATACGTAGAAATGACGTTTTAGCCCCCACTCCTAAACTTTGATTCGTTTTATATAAATATTGTTTCAATATACGATAAAATAAAAAATACGTGCCTAATATTTTTTCATTACCTAACTGACGGACTAATTACATTTTTAATTTTCGTACCCTGTCATCATCCCAATTGTAACAGATTATTTCAGGTGATGAAACTCGATTGTACTTTCCCCAAATACTATCTTTTTCATGAATTCCTCAAACATAAAATAATATTGTACATACATTAGGTTCCTTCCCGGTCCTAAACAAGTACAAAAAATATTGCTTTACCATCAGCGACTTTATCGTGTTTGTAATAATGGTCATATTCCATAAACAAAACTAAACGTTTCCTTGCCCCACCCAGACAATGGAATGTAATCAAAATCAATTTGGGAATACTCGTATATTCGAAATTCAAATCACTTAACATTTCAAGAGGCCTTATTATGTCATGAAATTATTATTTGCCACGTCACAATGAATGACGTAACATTGATGACGGCCGGTCGTCGAGTTTAAAAATGTATGGATGTAATGCTCTCACCTTTTTCGGGCACAATTAGGGCACAAATTGACGGCTCCTTTACGAAATGCGCCGAATTACGAATTTTCCTTTTTCGGGATTTTTCACGGCGAAGTTATGGGCATTAGTCGGCCATATTTTTATTTTTGTTTTTCGACTTACTTACATATAGCAGCGAAGCACTTAAGTTTGTTGTATATTTTTATGTGTACTTTAGTAAGATACAATACGGTTATGAGGATTTTAAAAGTAATAACTACAATTATCATTAATTTTTAACCGCAAGGTAATGATCAAATCAAATTATATCACATCTTTCACGTCCCTAATTATTTAACTCTTTTTTTATTTATGTAACCCGTCTAACGCTAGACTTGACTATATACAAACACATAATACACAAACCAAAACAATCACAAACCACATAATTTCAGAATTACAACTCCAGTAATTCAATTCAGTGGTCTAAATGACCCGAAGAGGTTGGGCGAGGTTAATAATTCACAGTTGGTAGCCATCGTCAAATATACTATAATCCCTTAGGAAATTATTGAAACTTAAACATGGAATGAGTTAGAGAGGGGTCGAGTGATTCGAACTTGAATGTAATCGATGTGTACGGAGATAGTGATGTGTTTCGAATATCCAAATTTCCGAATTTCCGAAACTGTTGTGTGTTTATAATTATGTGCTAACTGCTTCAGTCGGGACTAATTACTTGTTAATGGTTGTGTGACAGAAATCAAGGGTTAGGAATGTTGACGAGTTAATTAGAAAGTGTTTGATTAAATGCTCTTGCTTCGTGGAAGTTACTTTTGATGTGGTGCGGTCTGGTTTAAAATTATATGTGGTTATAAGTTATGTTTTGAGATGTAAATGTCAATATAATATTACTTAACTTTTGGTCCTATTTTGTGTAATAGTGTGGAGTTTTCATTAAACAGCCAACTCTTACCGATTTTTTCATTAATAGGGATGCTGACAGGATATGAAAATTAAAAATCTAATTAGTCTGTCAGTTAGGTAATGAAAAAATATTAAACACGTATTTTTTTATTTTGTTGAAAAATAAAATGATACTTAGAAATAACGAATAAAAGTTTAGGAGTGAGGGCTAAAACGTCATTTCTACTTATAAAATGTATATAGAAGTGACGTCACGCGACATTTCAAATCACTATATCGCCGAAAGTATTCGTTTCGGTAAAAAAATGAAAAATACGTGTTAAAATAATCTACCAGGCGGACATTAAAATAAAAATTAGTCATCTACCCTATTGTGTCACAGCCCGTATTCTATATATCTAGTCCAATCTAATAAGGAAATTCATCGAAAAAATTGCAGATGCATAAGAAACAACTGACTAACGACTTACTTATCCAAAGAAATTAAACGTCAAAATAATTAAACTTACTGTCCAATCACACTTATATTATAAATATGAAAGTTTCTTTGTTCGGATGTTTGTCCGTCAATCACGCTGCAACTACTGAACGGATTTTGATGAAATCGTCGTGTGAGTGAGGTTACCGGAGGCCCAAATCCCGATCTCCCCAATCCCTGAATCCCCAACGATCCTCAAACTCCTTTTTTTTTTATTAAAACCGTCAAAGTGATTCTTATTATATGCAAACTAGTTTTGTACCTTATTAAATAAGTAGCTAAGGATATAAGTTTTTTTTAAGGGGGGAAAGTCATCGATTGACTGCTCCCGCCTGGGTGAGGCGGGAGGGAGTGTCAGACTCTTACTGACTAAAAACCACCCCGTTCCTTCTCCTGCACGTCGAGTCGGAGCCCCGGTTAATCCTCAAACTCCTAATGGACCTCAAACGCCTCTGGTGTTCCAGGTGTCCATGGGCGACGCCGATTGCTTACCATTAGGTGATACGTCTGCTCGTTCACCGGCTTATGCAATAAAAAAAAAATTGGAATTCAGACAGGGTGTAGGCTGACTTAGGACTTTTTCCTCATTTAAATGCTCCCAGGGCTTTTTATACTAATACGCGGGCAAAGCCGTGGGCAAAAGCTAGAAATTTTGTATGTCATTGTCACAAAACATGACATGCAATACCCCATTCAATTCAAAAGAGTTAATTCAATAGTTGACCCATTCCTATTACTACTAGTACTACACCCAAATAATAGTGGAATAGACTTAGGCCGATAGTTCTATAGGTCATCGCCATTTGCTAGCAGAAAACAGATGTGTCTAATTTTATGACTTTGGGATCTCATGATGTTCCTACCTAACTCCATTTTGAGAAAGACTTGCTTCAAGAAATGCTCAGGTATCACTGCATATATAGGTGAATATTTTTTTTAAAACCTTGCCTCTAACTTGGATTTTATCTTGTGTCGTGGGTGCGTTTACATACAATTTCACATACACATGACACCCAGACTCGGAACAACAATCTGTGGATCACACAAAGAATTGTTCCGTGCGGGAATCGAACCCGCGACACGTTACATGGCAGCCAGTTGAACACCTACCGCGCCAACCGTGCAGTCAGTTTGGATTATATTTTGGAAGTATTTTTTTAAATTATCAAAATAATGGATTTTCTTTACAAAAATGAAATAAGATTAATATTTTGAAATACAGATGTAAAATCTCACTTCAAATTGAGTTCTTTGACTATCGATCAATAATTATTTACAGCAATTCGTTCATAGACGCGGTCATCGACAACGAACTTAGCATTCAACTCGGTAAATAGTTTCCGAAGTTAATTAGCCTTAGTTTAATCTTAGACCACATAATTCTCGATTTCTAATATAATAAAAATCCACACCCAATACAAACATAGTAATCAACAAGAAAGTCCATTACCAAACTACCAACTTTCCAGTCACTGCGCCCACGAACCTACATTACTAATAAATTAACAACCTAACACGTTTAATACCACTAAATGACATAATCCACTAAAGTAGGTAGTAGAAACAATTACATGAACACCACGTAACATTTTCTGATTCATATCTACGAAATTTAATTTACCTAACAACGTTTTAACGTGAGCTGTACGGGAATTGCTAACAAATGTAACTAATTGATGTCGCCACTCATTAGAATTATATCGTTAATATGAAGCACG